TTATTTCTTTATTTATTTATTAATAAGTATCTTTTAGAGGTACTATCATATAAATATTATCTATTATTAATTTATTTATTTTATTATTAATTTTATGTAACATTAATTATTATTTAAAGATACTGTATTTGTTTTGTAATTTTAGGTATCAAGTATCAATTATCTTGAATAAAAAATAAGTTTAAACATAATCTTCTATCTGCTTTTGATTTAATTTTCTGTATGAATTCTATCTCAAATATAATACTATATCCTGACTTTTTTATATGAATTATCTGAATATATTACATTATGTAACTAGAAGGTTACATACTTTATCTATATATTTAAATAGACTTAAAATTAAATTATATAAGATATTTAAATTAATACTTATTTATTTCTTGTATAATATATTAATTAATTCTTAATTTAATATAAATAATAATTTTTTTTAAATATGATAATTTAAAATATCTTATAAATACTTAATTAAATTAAAATCTAAACTTTGATTAACTTAATCTAAATTTTAAATATTATAAATTAATATTTATTAAGTTATATATATTAAAATATAATATAATATATTATCTTATTAAAATATAATTAGATCTTTTTATATTTAAAAAAGTAAAATTAAATAATTAAAAAGAAATATAATTATAAAAAAAGTTTTTTAATTATAATTAATTAGTAATTGAAAAATTTAAAAAAGATGATTATAAAAAAATATAATTATAAAGAAATTTAATTATATAATATTTAAATATTAATAAGTTTAGAATATAAAAATATTTCATGAAAATATTAATATAAATATCTAAATTTATAATTTTTTTACTAGTTTCAAAGAATCAATATCATTTTAATAATAAATTTAATATATTCTTAATAAATTTCATTAAATTTTTATTATACTCTTATCTGATTATTTGATTTAAAAAATGCAAATTTAAACTCATTAAATCAGATTATATTTGTTCATTTATTTTTTTTAATTATATTTCTTTCAGCACTAATTTAATAAATAAAATTCTTGATTTAGTATTAAAAGAAATTTTTTTCTTGAAATATAACTTTCAAATCCTATTTCATCTAAATATTTGTGAATAATATTAAAATAATAAGTAAAATTAAGGTTGTTATTTAGTTAATTTATAATTTACCAAGTAAAGAAAACTGATTTTTTAGAATAACTCATTATAATGCTTATTTATCATAATTAATCAGAGTTTTTGATTGATCAGAATGTTTTTAAAATATGAAGAATTGATTTCTTTAAATCATTTAATAGTATTATATATTATTGTTTGAGGAATATTGAATTTAAGTGCAATATTTTGATCTTTGATGTCAGCAAGATAAGCACCAATTATTTGTTCCCTTTGTTTGCTTGTTAATTCTTTTCCACACATTATTAAAAAGAGGAGAAATGGAATTTTTTTGTTTATTATTGTTTGTATTATTATGTACAAAGTCAATAAAATTGACTTTAAACTTTGAATCAGCATTTTGTGCAATCGATTTCTGGTAATATAGATTTGTATAGATTTGAATAAAAAAAATTATTATTTGTTAATATGTCATAATTAATTGTGAAAAAAAGTAATGCAACACCACTTACCAGATAAACGTGTAATTTGTGGGATAATTGACCGAAGAATCCATATTTAGTTTTTAATGTCTAAAAAATATACTATTTATGAGCAAAACCCATTAGACAAAAAAGGATATTCTTAAATTTGCGTGAGATATCTCGATACTACGAAAATTATTTTTCGTTGCATTAATTATGATCGCTACTGTAAGTCCAGGATCCTTGAGCAACTTGAACAGTCCAGTTGTTCGTGCCCTCTTCGGAGGATGCTCATCTGAAGAAAATGATTAAATGAAGAGACGGATTTAGCACAAGACTGCTCAAATAGCACGTACCCTTCAATTTATTAATGTAGTCAGCGATGACACTCGCAGGTCCACGTTTTCATGCCATCTGCCATGAGCTCTTCCTTGGTTAGTTCCAGGAACGCGATGCCTTCAATCTCGTTATCCAACAGGATGTCCAAGGCAGTTTTGCTTAGTTTGTTAGGAAATTTGGCCTGAAGGTGCTGGATGAGCTGTTCCGTGCTCCCTCATTGCTTAGATTCTTCTTGAGTTTATTCGACTCTTTTGCGAATGAAAAGCTAAAGTCGGGTTGGTCTTTACGATATTTGTAGAAACCAATGAATGAGTACTCTGTCGGTGCTGTTTTGAGAAGGTAGTCGCAGAACATCTTGCTTGGCACAATAAAACGACGTGACAATTAATTGGTAAAAGACTATGCAGCTGGCTTTAACGTGGAATTACTTTTGATAAAAATAATAGTTAATAGTTTATTTACATTACATAATTTTTTTTTATAATAAGAGTCGCGTATTTTGTTTTCATCGGAATACGAAATCAACCAATAAAATCAAATATCACGTGCTTTCAGGTCCCTGGTCCGTAGATTCTACCGGGGCTAGACTTTCACATGATCAAATTGTTTAAAGGCGAGATTATAGCAAAATTTTATTAACCGTAATAGGATTTCCGAAATGTCTGAGGGTTAGCAATTTTCATTTTTTTGTAAGCTTTTTTGAAATTAGGTTACTTACCTTGTATCTATTTCGAAGAGGAGAGGTTACAAAGCGAACAGAAACAAGAGACTACTAACCCCAAATCGAAAAAAGATAAATATCGAAAAGACAAACGTGAATTTCAATAAATTATTAATTCCAGTTGTTATGATTTAATACTTACCTTATTACTAAGCTCAAAGTCTATTATTTCTCTTTAAAGCGTGGGACACCGATGACATAGATCACTGGAAAATAGATCCTTTCAGACCTGAAGATAATCCACACCCATTTACAGAAGAATCATCGTTCGCCACACTTTTCCCAAAATATCGTGAAAATTATTTGAGGGAAGTATGGCCTCATGTTACCAAAACTTTGGAAAAAGTGGTAAAATATCGTCTTTCATGTTTGTTTTATGCTAAAAAGATATTTGCTTTTAGTCACCATGAACAATATGAACTGATATTAATAACAACAATGAATGATAGGGCGTTGCTTGTGTACTTAACCTAGTTGAAGGTAGTATGACAGTGAAAACAACACGGAAAACATACGATCCGTATATTATTCTCAAAGCGCGTGACTTGATTAAACTTTTGGCAAGAAATGTGCCGTTTCTTCAAGTATGTTTAGTTTAATAACACAATGAATGAGTGCATTGCTAGGATTATTTTATTAACCTATCGGAGATATTCTTGTATGGATTACCTAAAAAATAGGCTGTAAAAATTCTTGATGACGAAGTCGCATGTGACATTATAAAAATTGGAAACATAGTTCGCAACAAGGAACGATTCGTTAAGCGACGACAAAGATTAATTGGTCCGAATGGGTCGACATTAAAGGTATCATATTATTTTTATTAATGCAAAATGAATTATTATTAAATCGTGTGTATTGATATTAAAGACAATATAATGTATAGGCAATCGAACTTCTCACACAATGTTATATAATGGTTCAAGGAAACACCGTATCCGCAATGGGCTCACACAAAGGATTGAAAGATGTGCGACGAGTTGTCGATGATTGTATGAAGAACATTCATCCTATTTATCATATAAAGGTGAGATTGCGATTCACATAAACACAAATGCTTTTTTTATCTATATAATTTCATATTCAAATTAAATTATTGTTCAATAAATAAATAAAATCAAGGAACTGATGATAAAACGCGAGCTCGCCAAAGATCCAAAACTAAAAAACGAGTCATGGGACCGATTCCTGCCACACTTTAAGAAGAAGAACGTGAAACGACAAAAGAGACCAATTGTCACGAAGAAAGAGTATACGCCTTTTCCGCCACCACCGACTCCGAGCAAGGTAAGAAATCAGATAAGAATACGTAGAACTTAGCTATTATTTTTTATTAACTTGAAGAATAATATTTTTTAGATTGATTTACAACTGGAATCCGGTGAATACTTTCTTAAAGCTCCGGAAAAAGCAGCGCGTGAAATGGAGAAAAAGAAGGTAAGTAATAGTTTTGTTTGCCGTCTAATTATTTTTTATTTACAATCATATGAATATTATTTTAGGAAAAACAACGAGAAAACTCCCTCAAACGCAAAGCGGAACGAGAAAAAGCATTCATTCCTCCTGTGGAATCATCATTATCGAAAAAAAAGAAACGTAAAAACGACGAGTAGGTTCTTGATTCACCGTGGCTACATTATTCATAGGAATCAGACTAGCAATTTTTCATTTCTCTTGCGAATGTGCTATATGAACTAAATGACGTGACTTAAATTTTCTGTACAAATTTCGTCTTACGCACATTTTCATTTCTAACATTAAAAAGAAAAAAGCTTGTCAATAAAATCACTGTATATTATATATTATTAATAAATTTGCATGATGGACTAAATAATAAATTAAACGATCTCGTTATGTCTATTCAAAACTACAAAATGCTTATTTACATGTATATATTCTATATATAATATATATATATAATACAGTATAAAATAAAGTACAATTACTTTCTAAAGGTATTGCCACCACCGTTATTACCACCATTATTACCAGTATTATTATTATTATTGTTATTATTATTGATAACCAATCGACCAGTCTTCAACCAAATCTCATATGCTTGATATCGATTCTTTGCAGTATCACTATAGTAGTGATGACCACCCGGAGCACCAACCCCTTGTAACATCATTGCTTTCTTAGGCATTTCAGTGTAGGTCTCATAGAGTTGCTCGTCGACAGAACTAACACGTAGATCGGTTGTCTGATCGACACTTTCAGCTAATCGTGTATAATTTGCGTAATGATGGTATTCGGTGTGAATTGTAAGTGATGGGTCATCGTCTCCAGTTGGTGTTGAGGCGAGGGTTACATTACGAAATTGATTGATATATCTTTATATTTTTCGATAATTAATTTAGATTCTTTACTTCAAATAATACTAAAAAATGCAAAAAACAAACCTTTTATATTCCTTAGCCTCACTAGAAGAAACCGATGGATCCAAGCTTTTGGCCACCAATCCATCCATCATTGATACAACTTTTTTATCCTTTTTCTGTTTCTCTCTCTCATTATCCTTTTCGTCAGGTTGTTTCGTTTTCAAGATCCTAATATCCAGCAATAATGTATATATAATATTGGTTGATTTAGTGTAAATGCTATAGACATTCACTGAATCAACAATTTAATAATCCACACTTCTCTTGCTCACACGCTCACAAACACGATAATAGACCCTTGCAATAAGAAACAAATGAATTCTAATTACCTGGCCGCTTGTGTTGATCTTACTGTAAATGGGCTAAAATCATACGTTTCAGTGTTTGCTCTACCAATAGAATCAGTTAGAGACGAAATTAGAAGTAAACGATAAATATATAAAAATATTATTTACTTTGGTGGTAAAAATTTGGTCGTACTTTCCATTTTAAGAGCAAATAAATCATCAAAACCGGTGAATAATCTCGGTTTATAATATTCAATCCAGTATCCACCATATGCGTCTCCTTCATCATCATATTGACGTGCTAGTCTGGGTACAAGTTGGTATCGCGTCTCATCGAATACATTGTCCTCACGTGGAATCAATGCATCTTTGGTCCACCAATTAATATAACTTTATTGAAAATTAAAATTAATTATAATTAAATTTATTATCAAAGTCAACAGCGCAAAACATTTCCTTACCTCCTTTTCGATCGTCTGACTCTCGGATCATCATTGTGCAAATAATAATCATTCTGTAATGCCCAAAGAGCCGTGCGATCTTTTTGCGGAATAAAATTACCCAAAAATAAATTGATAGCTTCTTGCTTTTCATTGTCTACAATAAATTTAAACAAAAAAAATCTATTTAATAATGATAGCAATTAAAATAGCTATGCACACTTAAAGTAACTTTTCGCTTACCAGTAAACGTATTACTATAATATCGTCTCAAATTCTCAACTATATCTCGTGAATGACTTTGCCAATGGTTAATATGACGATATGCGGCCAAAGTATTTACCAAGTTCGACCCACTATATTGGAATGCAATCGCATCACCATGATGATGATACATAAGATTAAGTATATCAACCACATCAGAGTCGACCGGAACGAAGGGATGCTTAATGACTCCCAAAGCATACAACTAAATCAATATTGCTAGATTAGAATCAATCATAAACAAAGTAAATAATCATTATTGAGTTGGATACCTGATGTCCTAATGCTACTTTTCCAATCATCATTTGCGCTGCATTTGTTCTATCCAAACAATCGATACAATTTGTACGTACGACTCCATTCTGACGAAGTTTTTTTCGTCGAATTTGTGGTTTCTTTTCACTATATATTTTAATTTTAACATCTAACAATTATTAACCTTAAAAAAAAATAATAGTTTAAAATCATTAGAAAAGTGCAAACCTTTCCTCTCTTCTTAAAACATTTATGTAAGGTTCTGGTCCACTATGAAAAAATCCAGTATCTGCTATAAATTCTTCAGCAAAATTTTCCAAATGTCCCAGTACATCTTCAGCACTATATAAATTTGATTATTGATTATTATTAATGATATAAATACTTTTAAATCTTATCCGTTTATTAAGCTCTTAAACAAATGCATCGATTAATTAATACCTTTTTTTTGCTTTTGACATATCCCACGCTTTATAAACAATAGACTTTTCGGGAAGAAATTGGGCCAAATAATCCACACATTGTACAAACTCTTCGCCTAATATGGCCTCGCGTTTGTTTTTCTCTTTTGTCTTCTCGAAATAATAAATTTTAGAATTTCTTCAACTTTTAAAGAAAATTATCTTAAAATATTAATCCTTACTTTTATTAGATTCAATACAATTATTGGTGCGCCATATCTTTTAAACATATTATCAAAATGTAGAGCAGCCGCAACAAAAAATGGATCGTTAAAGTTCACTTTTTTTTAATGGTGATAGGTAAATAAATGTTATATTAAATTATCGTCAAAAAAAAAATAACACATATCTTTACTAATATAAAGAAAACTCACTATGAATAGGCGGCTTCGGCACCATATTAGTAGCATCCTGCGACCAAAACAACGGTATTGATCCTCGATGCTGTACATATGACGTGTAGTGTGGATTATCAAACAATTGAGTGCCAGAAAAATGAAACGAAGTTGTGCTCATGTCCGAAACTATTTGTTCTGTTTCCACATCGTTTGCTACATAGCCCTAATATTATTGGTCATTCATATTGAATTTTCAAAGTGTACGATATATTTTGATATGTTAATGAAGATAATTAATAACTATTCTTACTTGGTCATTTACACCTCTCTTCAAGAATCTTGCACCGGCAAAGTATCTTGATCGACGTGCTATCAATGTCACAAATATATTACGACCAAAAATCGATATTTCTATTGAGAGTTACAAAAAACGATTTAGTATTACAATAATACATTCATATCCTGTTAAATACAACCACCACCCACAGATTCTCACTTGACTGATCCACGAACCCATGAATAATCGGTAATATCCAATCAGAATTATTTTTCAATGATCTGAACCCGGTATCGAGCAGATAATGATTCCAGACAAACATTTCATTATACGAGAAAGTGGAACGGTTCGGGGTTCTGATCATGTTATGTTGTAGAGTATGTGTGATGTCATATGTATAACTAAAGTAAAAGTTTTTTGTCAAATCGACATTCTTGAATGTATTGATGTATCTGTGCGGATATTAATTAGAATACACATTAATCACTATATATATATATATATATTCATCTTATAAATCGCAGAAGATATTCTATTATTACCTTTGCTCATCAGAATTCTTTTCTGGTTTATTTTGTGGACTAATGCTCAACAACTCTGTCTCGTCAATCTGATAAATATAATGTCCACCAATCAAAGCGACCGGGCTACTTTTCGTCACCAATGATATATAATATCCCTCGGTAAATCTGATAAAACCTTGAAGTCACAATGAAAAATGTTAATTCGTTTTCAATGCGTTATGTGCATAGAGAAGAGAGCTCACCAACAATTCCATCAGCAGTTAACACGCGTTTCAAACCTCCGGCATACTTATTTCCCTCCTTAAGCACTGATAAAATATCATTGATCTCTTGTTTCGAATAAATCGCTTCGTGGTCAATGACATTGAGTTCTGTTAATGAAGTTCGATCAATTTTCAGTACGCGAAACCGATTGTCACTTTGGTTTGAGCCAATCATATAATAATTCTGTGTATTTTAAGAATTGGATTTTAATGAATTAGATTCATATCTAACTTTTCATTCGGGAAGGAATTAGGCAAAATATAGAATAATTCTTTTCTTTTATCTTATTCCCTTGAGCCTTAATGAAAGTTTAAATTCCGAATTTCGTAAAAAAAAGGCACTCACTGTCTTTGTCTCGTACAGGTTGAATCTATTTAACACTAGCCGCTGCTGTCGTGTTTCTTCAATATCTTGAGCGAATTCCGGGGCGGGGGGAACGGAAAACCGTGAATCGAGCGTTGGTCTGAGCCCGGTTTCCTGTTTCTTTGGTTGCTCATTATAAATGAACTGCGAATTTGTATATTGTGGTGAGGATTTAATTGGTTCTGGCATACTTCAATATTGAATAAAGTTTAATAGAATAGATAATTCATTTATAGTAGATCGTCGATACAATCTAAAAGTTATTTATTAATCAACAGATCAAAATCATTCAATAATTTATGGAAGATCCATAAATGAAGGTCTCTTTATTATTGCTCGTTACGGTAAAGTGTATGAAAAATGATGTTTTCCTAGTCTATTCCGGGGCTCAATCAATTTTATCGCATTATCACTTGATTTCTGTCATACCCTGCCATCCAGATCATCGAATTAAATATACATGGAAAATTTATAAAATTTAGAGTTGTCTCGATACCACCACGTTAGAATGTCAAGGTTACTAATAAGCTCGAGGAGATTCGCAAGCAACTTCCCTTTCTCCCGTACTCAAAAAAGTCTAACCATATAACATTTTATAAGCTTTATTTTTGTTTTTTTTTGGTCTTGATCACAAAGAAGGTAACTTTCTGTAATACTTTTAGGCCGTTCTTTTAGTTTGACTGCTTCAAGGTATAGTGAGGTCGAAGTTTTTGTTGACGGGAAACCAATTAGAATTGAACAAGGCAGTGCAGTTATACAAGCGTGTGAGTTAGCAGGCGTCACGATACCTAGATTTTGTTATCATGAGGTATGTGTAACATTTTGTAGATGTTAATTTCAAAAAGCACAATTAAATATTATTTTTATTTACTACAGAGATTATCTATTGCTGGTAATTGCCGAATGTGCTTGGTGGAACTGGAGAGATCACCAAAACCTATAGCTTCTTGCTCGATGCCAATAATGCCAGGGATGAAAATCATGACCGACACTCCAGTCGTGAAAAAAGCGCGTGAAGGTGTGATGGAATTCTTACTGGCCAATCATCCATTGGATTGCCCTATTTGTGATCAAGGTGGTGAATGTGACTTGCAGGATCAGTCCGTGAGATATGGTAGTGATCGTGGAAGGTTTCACGAGATTGTTGGAAAACGTGCCGTTGAAGATAAAGATTTTGGTCCATTGGTGAAGACGTCAATGACGCGATGTATTCATTGTACTCGATGTGTGCGATTTGCTACTGAAGTCGCTGGCGCTTCTGAATTGGGAACTTCTGGCCGAGGAAATGATATGCAAATCAGCATGTATATCGAAAGAACACTTGACTCTGAAATGTCTGCTAATATCATTGATCTGTGTCCTGTTGGTGCTTTGACTGCTAAACCATATGCGTACTCTTACCGACCTTGGGAACTGAAAAGAACAGAATCTATTGATGTTCTTGATGCTATCGGAAGCAATATTCGCGTCGATTCTCGTGGTGTGGAAGTGATGCGTATTTTACCAAGAATTAACGATGACATTAACGAGGAATGGATCTCAGATAAAACAAGATTCGCTTTTGATGGACTCAAACGACAACGCCTTACTCTCCCTTTGATTCGTCAAGGTGATAAATTTTCACCAGCAAGTTGGGAACAGGCATTAACCAAAGTTGCTCAAGAATTAAGAAATATCGAAGATGGCTCAAAAGCCAAAGCTATCGCGGGTCAATTAGCTGATGTTGAAAGTTTAGTAGCGTTAAAAGATCTATTTAATCGGCTTGGTTCTGATAACTTGACTCTTGATGTGCTAAATGACTCAAAAATACCTGCACATGGTATTGATTTTCGATCAAACTATCTGTTGAATAGTACTATTGCGGGAGTCGAAGAAGCAGATCTTCTTTTACTCGTAGGAACTAATCCTCGTCATGAAGGAGCAATTCTTAACACTCGTATCCGAAAAGGTTATCTCCATAATGGATTAGATATCGGTTTGATTGGTTATCCGGCCGATACCACCTATGAATATGATCATATAGGCACAAATAGCACAGCAATAGAACTTTTGTTGGAAGAAAAGCATCCGTTTACGCAACGACTTGCAAAAGCTAAAAGACCGTTGATTATTGTTGGTAGTGGTGTGACAGAAAGTCCTGATGCAGAGTTTGTGTTTTCGGCGGTTGCTAAATTGACGAACAAATATGTAGATAAATTTTTCCAAAATGATTGGCAAGGTTATGGCATATTGCAAAGAGTATGTTTATTTGAATATTTTGATTATTTATTAATTACTAAAATATTAAATAACGAATTAAAAAAATGCTATCTTTAGGGAGCAAGTTATGCAGCTATTTACGATATCGGATTTATTCCCTCAAAATCTGCTGCAAGCACAACCTCGTCTTTCATATACTTATTAAATGCTGACGAGATATCACCACAAGATATTCCAAATGATGCATTTGTCGTGTACCAAGGGCACCATGGTGACACGGGAGCTAATTACGCGGATGTGGTATTACCAGGAGCCGCATATACCGAAAAAAATGCCACCTATGTAAACACCGAAGGTAGACCACAAACAACACGCGCGGCTGTTCCTCCGCCTGGTGCTGCACGCGAAGACTGGAAGGTGAGTTGATTTTTCCAATGTAGATTATGATAACGAATTTATTTAATAACTGTATTATTTTTTTTAAATGATAGATTATTCGAGCATTATCCGAAGTGGCAGACATGACTCTTCCTTACGACGATGTACACACTCTACGCGAACGTATAGAAGACATCGCGCCACACCTAACACGCTACGATATTCTAGAACGAATAACAAATCCCACGCTTGGACTTTCGTATCTATCAAGTCGCGGGGTTAGGACCCCTTCCGGTTCGATATTTAGACCGGTGATACAAGATTTCTATATGACTGATAGTATTTCGCGAGCGAGTCAGACAATGGCAAAATGTTCCGCAGCATTCACCAATAAACGAAACACATACATAACTACAACACCCACCACATCTAACTCTTCTTCTTCAGCATATGCGTAAACAAACACAACATTGTAATATAAAATATTTGATAAATTTTTCTAATTTATTATCTCGTAAAAATCCAGTCAAAAACAATTTTGTCACTACTATCAGTGTCTAAATTCAATTCAGAAATTGATTAAATTAATTGAAAAATTTAAATATTAATTACTATGGATAAATATAAGTTTTATTGAATTGCAGCTGAACAAAATGTTTACAATACTATAAGCTTGAGAACCCGTAATTTTATCAGTAATAATGATTATTAATTTTTCTTTAAATTCGATATATAATGTTTGAAGATATTTGTCAAATATATCAGATAAATAATTATAATGTAAAGTATTAGTAGCAGGAATAATATCATCTTTATAATAATAAGTTATTAAAAATAGATGAAATTTATCTACTTTCTTTAAAGAATATTAATATTAACTTATATTTTAAGAAATTTACTTATTATAGCTTTTTAAGAAAAATAAAAAATATATAAATATATTTACATAATATTAATATTATAAAAAATTTGAATAATTACAAAAAAATTTAGATCTAAATTTTTTCAGATTTTTACTTATAAATATATGAATATTAATCATATAATTTTTTAAGAAATAGTTTAATTAAATTATAAAATATGAAAATATTTTAATAACTTAATATTTTGATTATATTATTAAAATAAATTCTTTATATTTATTATTCAATAAATAATAAACAAGATTTAAATTTTATGTAAGTTATATATTTATAAAATTTATAAAATCAAATTATAAAATAATTATAAATCTTAAATTAATATTAAAAGAAACTATAAATTATAATATTATTATTAATTTTTTAATATTAAATATATTAAAAAATTAGATAATTATTAAGTTTATTTGAAAAAATATTAAAGAATTGACTTAATTTATTTAATATCTTAATATCTTAACATAAAATTTTTTATTATAAATAAAAATTAAATATAATAATTATATAATCTTATAATTTATATTAATTATAATTATTATTCTTAATAATAATATTATTTTTTTCTTTTTTTTTAAGTAATTTTAATATAATAATTATAATTTAAATTTTAATAAATTTATATTAAAAATTTCTTTTTTATAGCTAAAATAAAAAAGATTATAAAAGTAAATATATATTAGAAATATTATTTAAATTATATTTTTATTATAATATTTTAATTTAATATAAATTTTAATATTTTATTTCTATATAATTATAAACTAATCATAATTTAATTATAATATAATTATAATTTAATAATTAAAATAATATATTTAATATAAATATATATTAAATTATTTATAATTATTATATTTAAAAAAGTAAAAATCTTTTTAATTATAATCAAATTTCTTTATAATTATATATATCTTTATAATCATCTTTTTTTATAGTTATCTTTTTTAAATTTTTTAATTATTAATTAATTATAATTAAAAAATCTTTATATAATTATATCTTCTTTTAATTATTTAATTTTATTTTTTAAATATAATAACTATAAAAAGCTCTAACTATAATAATTAAAAAACTTAAAAAAGATAATTAAAAAGATATAACTATAAAAAAATATAATTATTTTTTAAATTATATATTTTAATAGATAAATTTATTTATTTAAATAATTAATTTAAATTTTTTTTTGTTTTTTTCTTATAAAACTTAAATTATTTATTTAATTAATTATTAAAAAAATTTATAAAAGTATACTTGTAATTTCAGAATACAGATAAAAATATATTATTATAAATTTTATAATATAATTATTAATTATAAAGTATAAATATAATATAATAGTTATATTTATTAATAAACTATTTAGGAAAATATACTTTATATTAATAATTATAATAATAATTATGACAAATTAAAATAAAATCAGATTAAAATAAAATTTTCTCTATTTTAATATGAAAATTTTATATTTTTTTTGAGAATAATTTTCTAGATTTTTTTTGAAATTTGAGTTAGAATTTAGAATAATTTTTATTAATAAAAAAATATATATAGATTTTAGAAATATTAAAAAAGGATTCAAAAAGATCATAATTTTATTTTAATTACTATTTTCATTATGATATTTCAATATTTCATAAAATCTTAAGAAATTGCAATATTATTTTAAAAAAATAAGATGTTGATTAATGTATG